GCTGCAGCGGGCACAGGCAGGCAGGCCATCCCCATCCATCCTGCTCTGTCCTACCTGCTGCTGCTCCTGGTGGGAGCCACACCTGTCAGCTCATGTGGTGGGTGCAGCTCTACCAGTGCCAACGTGCTCCATTCTGGTGCCAGCTGAGAAGTGACCTTAGAAATGGCAAACAGGGCTCGAGTTAATCAGTACCATCAAAGCACAAGGCGGCGACTCCTCACGCATCAGCCAAGGGTGGGCATAGGGCAAACGTGCCTTGTTTTTCCTGGCACACACTGCTCGCTTCCATCTGCTGGGACTGGTTAAGTTTTCTGCCTTCTGCTTATCTTGAGCCTGATGGGAGAAGGTTCTTAGCCCTGTGCTCTCTTTGCACTTAAGGAGATTTGTAGGGAACAGCCTTAGGGTCTTGCTGGAGCTGCTCTGCTAAGGCTGCCTCTGCCCTGATCCTGCTGTGGAAACATGGGCTTATGGTCAGCACCTGCCATGGACCTTCCTGGAGCACCTGCGCGTAAGATGGGATGTGCCAATCCATCTTTGCTTGGTGTCCCCAGTCAGGTGTCTGTGCCATCAGAGCGGTCCCTCCCCTTGCCCAGCCCACCCTGGGTCTGTCACCCCGACACGCTGCAGCACTGATGGTGCTGTGAGTCAGTCCTGGGATTCTTGGGGTGTCCTGTGCAGAGCCAGGAGCTGGACTTGGTGATCCTTGGTGTCCCTTCTCGCTCAGGATACTCTGTGATTCTGTGGCAGTGCTTGATCTGGCTCCAGGTAACCAGATTGCTTCAAAGTGGAATTGTTTCTCCTGGACAGGAAGGCTATTAGTAGAATCTGGGCTATAAATCTCTGGTTTTTTCCTCTTTGAACACATAATTGGATCTCCCAGAAGCATCCTGGTGGCACGATTAATGTTGTTTGTAAGCTGCATGAGCCGTTCCTGTCTCCAAATCCCACGGTGCCGCTCAGGTCACTGCTCTGGCCGCGGTGGCTCCGTGGCCACCAGCCCTGCCTGCTGGCCCTGCAGCCATCCTGGCATGGACAGGGCATGGGAGCCTGCTGCAAGGTGCAGGGGGTAAGGTCGTTGCTGCTGGCTTTGCCCTTCTCATAAGGAGGTAAACCCAAGTCCCGAGGGAGCTCTCTGGGCTCTCCTTTCTGCAGCCATGAGGAGGAGCAGTGTCTGCAGACACGGTGCTCTTTTGGAGCAGGGCCTGTTCCAAATGCCCATCTGCTTTGGGAAGGAGACTCTGAGGTGTATGAAATTCCTTCTGTGCACTTCTCCTTTTCCTTTCACTTTCTCTCCCTGAAAACGAAGGAGAAATCTGAGTCCTAGCTGCTGGGAATCATCGGTCATGATAGAAAAATGCCTCTTAGAAGGATGTGAGTCGCTACAGCAGCGTGTGGAGGTCCAGCACTCGGGTGGTGATGGTAATTTGCAGTGAGGATGAGATGGGGGAATGATGGAGCTGGTGCTGAGCTCAAACACTGCCGGGTTTGGAGCATCACAGGTAAAAAAGTGCAAGGGGCAATTCCAGGAACTTGTGCAGAGAAGAATCAGTCGTGGGAGGCTGGGCACGGCCGAAGCTTTGGGGTTTGCCCCTGAAGATGCCTGGCAGGCACTGTCCCCAGAGCCACCCCCAGCTCCGTGCCTTTGCTCTGTGGGTGCCCTCTGAGCTGGCACAGCACCTCCCTGCCTCCCTCAGCAAGCAGAGCAGTGTCCTGCTGGGAGACTGGCAGGAGCTGGGGGGATCTAAAGCTATTAGAGAGCATCCAAAGGGCCAGAAAGATGGGGAAGGGTCGGGAGGGGAAGCCACGTGAGGAGTGGATGAGGCCACTTGGCTTGTTCAGCCTGGAGAAGAGACTGAGGGGAGACCCCATAGATGTCAACAGCTTCCTCCCAAGGGGCAGTGGAGGGGCAGCACCAACCTCTGCTCTCTGTGACCAGTGACAGGGCCTGAGGGAACAGCTGGAGCTGTGTCAGGGGAGGGTTAGGCTGGATCTGCCAGGAATTGGGCAAAGGTTCTTCCCCCAGAGGTGTTTGGGCACTGAACAGCTCCCAGCGCAGTAGGCACCGCCCCAAGCCTGACAGAGCTCAAGGAGTGTTTGGCCAATGCTCTCAGGCACAGGATGGGGTTGGTGGTATGTCTGTGCAGGAGCTGCAGCTGATGGTTCTTATGGGTCACTTCCAGCTCAGGATATTCCAAGGCACCGCCCCAAGCCTGACAGAGCTCAAGGAGTGTTTGGCCAATGCTCTCAGGCACAGGATGGGGTTGGTGGTATGTCTGTGCAGGAGCTGCAGCTGATGGTTCTTATGGGTCACTTCCAGCTCAGGATATTCCATGATTGTGTGGTATCAGCAAACCTCCACAGGGCAGCTGCCCTCTCCCTCAAGGAGCAGGCCTGTCCAGGTGGGAACATGTGTGTCCGTGGGGAAAAGCTTGTTCACTATTGTCCTCAGCCTTTGTGGGGAGGGAGGAAAGCTTCCTGGGGCAAGGGCCTGGGGAAATTTCCCTGAGGTACCTTTCTGACAGGAGCACAGGAGCCCCGAGCCCTTGCCCTGCCTCGCTCCAAGCACTGCCTCTGTTTTCTTGTTCCAGGCTGTTTTGGGGATAATGGGATTAAATCAGCCTCTCCTCCTCCCCTAACTGGTGGTTTAAATCCTATTATCTCGTAAAGCGTTTGGAATTCTGCCCCCCAAAATTGCATTAAGCTGGGATGGAAATTCCTTGTGGCTTATCCCTCACCCCTGTGCGTGCGGCGTCGAGTTTGGGGCGTTGTTGCTGCTCGCTCTGTGGGTCTGGTGGGTGTGCTGGCCTGGGGACATAAGCTCTGGGGCTAAATCCCAAGGAGACAGACTGATCCATCACAAGGAGGGCAGGGAAGGGCTGGGAGGGTGCAGAAATCCTAACCAAGGATGGGATTCACCCAGCTGGGAGCAAGTGCTGTAAGCTTGGAGTCCCACGAGATCTGCTGCCCCTTCCTGGTCCTGGTGCCTGTCTTAGGGCATGTTGCTTTACCCTTTTCTACCACTTTCCTCCCAGCTTCTGAAATGGACAGACTGCTTCCAGGGGAAAATGGGGTTTGTGGATGTTCCCCCAGCAATCCTCCCCCTTGGGAAATGTGAACTCCAGCTCTCCAGGCTGGACACGGGCAAGAAGCAAATGCTGGTCCTTCACCAGGCAGCTGCTTCCAACTGCTCTGCCCTGCCTGAGGAGAAGTGTCATGAGTCCTACCTCCCAACAGGGAGCTCAGCTGGGAGCCCCTGGTGCCACATCACCTGTGTGGCTGCAGTGGGAAGCTGCTGCCTCTGTGCTTCTCCCTAGTGCCAGGTGATTTGGAGACACGTGTGGGTGCATGGTGGTGCCTTGCAGTATCTGTGGGACAGGCTGAAGGCCTTGCTCACGAGTATCTGCTCTCTTCCTGGGAGGAGAAAGTCTCTTCCAGGTGACGGGAAGTGGGTGAGACAGTGGTAGCTGCTGTCTCAGGGGGCTTAGCCCTTGGCTGAAGCACACCAGCTCTGGTGGAGGACCTCTGGGGTCAGTCACTGTTGTCTCTGGGTCACTCAGAGCTGTCAGCACAGAGATGTGTCCCTTGAAGCTCCCTGTTAGTATCTAGAGAGCTATTTTTGGGAGCACCATCACTGTCCTCCTGCAGCCTTTGGACACTGAGCTGAGAGGGTCCCTGGACTCTGCAGGGTTCTCAGCTGGAACACTCCAAGCTGTCCTCGGTGGGTCAGTGCCCTGCTGTGGGTGCCTGGGGACATGGTACGTGGACGGTGGTGTGGCTGTCTGTGTGTTGTTGGGTTGTTAGCGCTGGTTTTGGGGCGACTCCACCCTTGACCCGAGTGCTGTTGCCATGCCAAGGCTCGGGGCTGATGCCCTCGTGGGAAGCTCAGTATTCCGTGTCTCTGCGAGCGTTGCTGCAGCCCTAACTGTTGGTTTTGTTTCCCTGTCATTCCCAGTACAGCGCCGTGGACAGCAATCCCCTATCCCTGTACGTCATGCATCCCTTCTGGAACGCCATCGTGAAGGTGAGGCCTCTCCTGCCCCTCCCTCCCACCACCAGCTGCTTTGTGGGGTTTTTTGTGGCACAACTAACCACTGCCCGCTCCCAGCGAAGCTTCCTGCTGCCCTGGGAGAGCTGGATGCCCCTGACAGTGCTGCCTAACCCCAGGCAGTCACAGCCACGGCCGGAGCAGCTCCTGGTCCTCGCTCCATGTTTTAACGAGTTCATCTCTTGCCGCTTTCCCATAGATCTTCCCCACCTGGCTGGCCCCAAATTTGATAACGTTTTCTGGCTTCCTGCTGCTTGTCTTCAACTTCTTCCTCATGGCATACTTCGACCCTGACTTTTATGCTTCTGGTAAGGCTGCTTGTTCCCGGTGGGACGTGAGAGCTGTCACCTCCTCTGCTGGGAGTTCTTGGGGGTGAGGCCTCAGGGTCTGAGCCTTCCCACAGGCAGGTGACTGGGACAGAGGAGAGGGTTGAGCTCACTGAGCTTCATGGCAAGGGTATGACACCTTCCCTCTGGCTGCTGGAGGAAACAGTCAGAATCTTGGGTAGGAACTGGACTGCAGAATTACACATAGGACCATGTAGGATCTTCCTGCAGAGCAGACAACAACCCAGTGCCCTTGTTTTAAAATCTGCCAGGGCAACATGGGAAACACTGCTTGCCTGAAATCAGCAGGTAGAGCCTTGTTCTTCACATCCCAGCTGGTCCTTCTTGCCAAAACACTCCACCACCACATCAGGCTGACAGGCCAAATCCTTTCTCAGCTTCACCATACACAGCTTGAAAGTTTCTGCCTGTACCCATGTTCATCTGGCCCCGACTCCAAAGGTTCAGCCATGTCCCTTTCCTCATGGAGGTGTGCCAGGGAAAGGATTAGTACAGTGTAACTTCTTTTGCTGCTGGAAAGGCACCATCCTGCTGCTGGGAGGAGACAGGAGCACATTCCTGAGTCACTGTTCCACCCTGTGCCCTCCTGCTGCCAGGGAGCTGTGCCTCTTCCTGCTCTTTTCCGACGTTCCGATGCCCCTTTGGGCTCCCTGATTGCAGACAGCTACTCTGGCTCTCTGCCAGAGGGGTGCTGGAGGAGCTGGAGGTGCTGCTAAGGAGGAACTTCATTTCCATTGGCAGGATGGGACTGGAGACTGGGCGGGGAGTCCTGGCGTGTTCTGCGGAGGCAGGGAATGGCCAAGGGAATTGCCACACCTCGGGGGCTCTGCTCGATGCTCTGTGAGCAAGTGATTGAGGAGAGTCATCTGCACACACTTCCCTGGCATGCGCTGGGGCTGCAGTTGCTGGCCCCAGTTCTTAGATACGATGATTCTGGGGAGCTGGGGCAGAGAGGTATATCCCAGAAGGCAAAGTGACCTGGTTCCGGGAGTGCTGTGGAACAGCTCTGCCCTCACACCCTGAAAAGTTCACATCCCAGTTCCGCTGAGTGAGCTGTGCAGGTGCTTTGCCTCTTGAGCCAGAACTAACCCACTGGAAGCACACACTGAGCTGTCCTGACTCAGGACTTTCTGCCCCTTACAGCTCCTGATCACCAGCATGTTCCAGATGGAGTGTGGATCATTGCAGGGCTCCTCAACTTCATTGCCTACACGTTAGGTAAGAGTTTAGTTGGTGGTTTGTGGCCATCTTCTCATGCTGTGCCTGCCTGCTGGCTGATCTCTGAGCTCACCAGGAAATGTTTGACCCTGTGCTCCTGCCAGGCACTGATCCAGCTGCTGCTGGGTCTGCCAGAGCAGTTTGTGGGAGCTGCTTTGCAGAGTGGAGAGGAGGAAGTTGTCCCAGAGCAGCTGATGGGAAAGGAGGATGCTGGAGGTGACTTGGAGACAAACTGTGAAATTCTTTCTTTGCTCTGCTTTAAATAATCAGAGAATCCTAGACTGGTTTGGGTGGGAAGGGACCTCCAAGATCCTCTAGTTGCACCACCCCCTGCCCTGGGCAGGGACACCTCCCACCAGCCCAGGCTCCTCCAAGCCCCATCCAGCCTGGCCTGGAACACTCCCAGGGATGGAGCTGGGCATAGCTCCTCTGGGCACCCTGTGCCAGTGCCTCAGCACCTCACAGGGAATAGTTCCTTCCCAGTATCCCGTGGCAGTGGGAAGTCATTCCCTGTGTCCTGTCCCTCCAGGCCTTGTCCCAGGTCCCTCTGCACCTCTCTTGGAGTCCCTTGAGGCACTTAGAGGGGTTCTAAGGAATATAAAGGAATTGTAAGGAAATAAATATAGTCTTGTCAGACTGTTGGATTTTCTAGTCTCCCCTGGAGCAGGAGATGGGACACCCACTCCCTGTTAGAGGATGGAGGTGGTGGCAGCTGCTGTCCCTGGCTGCAGACTGGCCCATTGCTTTGTGTGGTGTGTCCAGCAAAGCTCCCCATTTGTCCTTCTCCTCCCAGATGGCGTGGATGGGAAGCAGGCTCGCAGGACCAACTCCAGCACACCCCTGGGAGAGCTCTTTGACCACGGCCTGGACAGCTGGGCCTGTGTGTACTTCGTCGTCACAGTCTACTCCACCTTTGGCCGTGGCTCCACGGGCGTCAGTGTCTTCGTTCTCTACCTCCTCTTGTGGGTGGTTTTGTTTTCCTTCATCCTCTCCCACTGGGAGAAGTATAACACTGGGATTCTCTTCCTGCCCTGGGGATATGACATCAGCCAGGTGGTAAGTACATGCTGCAGCCCTTGAGGAGTCTGCTGGGGTGCAGTGGTGCCAGTGAGGTGTGTGAGGGAGGCAGGTAGCTCTGCTGCATGCCCAGAGCTTCCTAAATCGTGGAATCGTAGTCCATGTAAATGGGCTCTCCACTTGAACTGTTGCACTAGGTAGTTTGCTGCACAGTATCACTGTGGGTAGCCTGGAAGTTTGGGGATACCTTTTGGCACTAGCAGGATTTGTGCTAAAACCCAGCAGAGTTAATTGGCCAGTTAATTGCTGTTCCTGGAGCAAAGGTTCCTGGGGAGGAGCCCCTCTATGCCCTGTTGAGACTGGTGGTGATGGACCCTTGGGATTGTGGGTGTGTCCATCCCTCATCAAGGAATTCTCTGCAGGAAGCTGTTCCTGAAGAGAGCTGGGAGCTCTGGATGAGGCAGCTCCCCTGTACTGCTGGCAGTGCCTTCCAGGCTCCAAGCCCTGTCCATCCTGGCCTGGAGCACTCCCAGTGATGGGGCAGACCCCGCTGCTCTGGGCAGCCTGTGCCAGGGTTTTACATCTCCTTTGTGAAAAAGCTCCTTCCATGTGTCTGAGTACCTTGTAAGCATTTTTTTTATCGTGTGGCTCATGGGATGCTGGGCTGGAAACACAGCAGGTTGGAAGGAGAGTTCAATCAGTGCAGCTGCAGTCATTGCAATCATCACATCTCCTTGTAAGAGGAGACCATAACTCATCTCCTGACCATACTCTGATCCCTGTCCCCAGCAGTGTTGCTTAACCCCAGTGCTTTCAGCTCACTGCCCGTGGCAGAACGGCAGGGCGAGGGCTGAGCTCCCCTGCAGCGTGTTCTGTCCAGCTTCAAGCTGAAATATCCCTGTGAGCTTTTCCCTTGTAATCCAGTAGCAGGTAGGTAAAAGTCCCCAAATTGACCCTCCGGGTCACTGCAACTTGTAGTGTGAAACCTGTCTCTGCCTCAGGCATCTCACGAGATCAGCCTGTGCAAGGGCATCTTGGCTCCTGCAGTGAGCAGCAGCTCCTGGTCTTGTCCTTCCCATGGAACTATTTGGTTGAAAAGCCCTCTGAGGTCAAGTCCAACTTCCCCCAGCACTGCCGAGGCCACCACTGACCATGTCCCCAGTGCCACGTCCACGTGGCTGTTCAATCCCTCCAGGGACGGTGAGTCCCCCTGCCCTGGGCAGCTGTGCCAGGGCTGGACAGCCCTTTCCAAGAAGAAATTGTTCCCAATATCCAACCTGAACCTCCCCTGGCACAGCCTGAGGTGTTTCCCCTGTCCTGTCCCTTGTTCCCTGGGAGCAGAGCCTGAGCCCACCTGGCTGCACCTCCTGGCAGGAGCTGCAGAGAGCAGAAGGTTCCCCTGAGCCTCCTTTTCTCCAGGCTGAGCCCCCACAGCTCCCTCAGCCTCTCCTGCTGCTCCAGCCCCTTCCCAGCTCTGTTCCCTTCCCTGGACACCTCCAGCCCCTCCATGTGCTTCTTTCCATCCTCCAGCCCCTCCATGTCCTTGTGAGGTCCCAGAGCTGCCCCAGGGCTGGAGGTGCCTCAGCAGGTTCAGCACAGGGACAGGCACTGCCCGAGGCAATCACTGCTCGGACCTGGTCTCAGAAATGGGATATTTATGGGTTTGTTCTCCCCCTCCTGCTGGCGGGTGGGCCCAGTGCTGCCAGCCCCGCCCGCAGCCTGCTCACCCCTGCTCGTCTTGTGCTCTCTTCCAGACCATTTCAATTGTCTACATAGTGACAGCCTTTGTGGGAGTGGAGGCCTGGTATGCACCTTTCCTGTTTAATTTCTTATATAGAGACCTATTCACTGCAATGATTATTGGTAAGAAGCTCCATGTTGAAGCCTGTCTTTTAAACTCCACCTCTAACGAAACCCTGTGCTAATTACATGCTAACACTGTTCTGTTTGCTGCCGTGGGAGCTGCTGCAGGCTATTATTGAAGTGACTAACTGAGGGTGTTCTCACAGCCTGCCCCGGCCCAGGGTTTCAAAACCTTGTTGTCTCCTGCAGAGTTATTTTGGAGGACTTAACTCCAGTCTGCCTGGGCTGACTTCAAGTCAGGGAAGCTCAGTCTGGGGTTTTCAGGGGTGAAACCTGAGTCTCTAGGGAGTAAAGCCCAGTGTGCAGGTGGGTGCTGGGAGCTGGCACCCAGTGGAGCCCCTGCAGGCCTCGGGCTGTGTTTGGGGGGGTCAGAATGTGCTTGTTTTGCTGCTCCCTCTGACCCCAGAGCCCAAACACTGCGTGGGAGGGAGGTTCCAGCCACGGGGTGGGTGCCAGCACTCTGCTGTTTGGGGATCCTGCTCTCCACCCACCCCTGGAACATGAAGCAGGGGCAAAATTGAAATAAAGCCTCAGGCTGGCCCTCCAGTGCTCGGTCAAAACGAGCCACTGCAGAGGGGGGAGCCGAGCTGACATTGCTTACTGTCTTTTGCCATTTCCAGCTCGGTTTGTTCTCTGTGTTCCTTCAGGGGTTCATTGTAGTTCCCTAGTTTCAAGTTAGTTGGTGTGGTAGATCTAACGTTGGCACTTTTCATCAGGTGGATGTTCTGAGCTTCCCTCTGGCAGACACATAACTGCATGTGAAAATAAATGTGCTTTTCCTGTATGAAAACAGAGCCTGATGCCCACACAGGATGGATCTGGCATAGGAGTTGGGTTATTGCAGCAGCAGTATTCCCAACTCTGTTACAACACCTTCTGCTGGATAAACAGGGAGGGGGTTGTGCTGGACTGTTGTGGATAGTGGCTGATGGTTCTGACTGAGGTGTAGATTTTCTAGTGCCTTAGGTGGTTTGTGTCATTTATGAAGTTAAATGACAACGTTTTGGCACCTTGGGCACTGGAAGTGCTTGCTCCAGCAGGACTGGCAGCAGATTGCTCAGCTGTGTCACTCATGGAACTTGCACTGACCTCGTGTCTCATCAAAACTGTAATTAGCCTTTGCCACTGTCTAAAGCACAGCACCAGGCTCGTGGGTGCAGCTCTTCAAATGGCTGTCATTTACAGCAGACCTTCACTTCTGACTACAGAGTGCTGAGCACCTACTTCTACAGGTGCTGAGCTATTCCTGGTGCACTCTTACAGCTATTTTGGTTTCCAGGAATGTAAGCCAGAGCACAGCCAGGTGCCTGTTTGGGGGAGCACGTGAGGGTCTCCCTCTGCCATGGGGAGTAACGTGGCTCTCTTCTCTTCCAGCTTGTGCCCTCACTGTGACGCTGCCCATGAGCCTCTACAACTTCTACAAGTGAGTTTCTAGAATCCCAGGATGGTTTGGGTGGGAAGGTGACCATATGGATTATCCTGTTTCACCCCCTGCCTTGGGCTGCTCATCCAACCTGGCCTGGAACACTCCCAGGGATGGAGCAGCCACAGCTGCTCTGGGCACCCTGTGCCAGAGCCTCAGCACCTCACAGGGAGGATTCCTGCCCAGTATCCCATCTGTCCCTGCCCTGTGGCAGTGGGAAGCCATTCCCTGTGTCCTGTCCCTCCATCCCTTGTCCCATGTCCCTCTGCAGCTCTCCTGGAGCCCTTTCAGGCACTGTACTGCAGGCAGGGACCAGAGATCTCTCAGTGATTCCATGTGTTTCAGGGCCTATAAGAGTAACACCCTGAAGCACCACTCTGTGTACGAAATCATGCTGCCCCTGCTGTCCCCAGTGTTGCTGTTCCTGCTCTGCACCACGTGGATCTTCATGTCCCCGACTGACATCCTGGAGGTTCAGCCCAGGCTCTTCTATTTCATGGTTGGAACAGCCTTCGCTAACATTTCTGTAAGCTACTTTTGCTTTTTGCCTCAGAAACTAGAGAATTAGTTAAGCTGAGTGTTCTCATGCACCCTCTGTGCTGTGACAGCAAACTGCTGCTAGGGAGTGAGCTCCTGCATCCTTTTTGGGGGGTAAAGGTAAAATGGGAGGCACTAAACTTTGGGTCAAAATCTGATTTAGCTGCATATTCGTGGAATTACAGAATTGTTAAGGTTGGGAATGACTTCTGTGGCCATGGAGCCTGACTGTTCCCCAGCACTGCCAAGGCCACCACTCACCATGTCCCCAGTGCCGCATCCACATTTTTGTTCAATCCCTCCAGGGATGGGGACTCTCCCTCTGCCATGGGCTGCTGTGCTGGAATTCCTCCTGATGTCCAACCTGACCCTCCCCTCGCACAGCCTGAGGTGTTTCCCCTGTCCTGTCCCTTGTTCCCTGGGAGCAGAGCCTGAGCCCACCTGGCTGCACCTCCTGGCAGGAGCTGCAGAGAGCAGAAGGTTCCCCGGAGCCTCCTTTTCTCCAGGCTGAGCCCCCACAGCTCCCTCAGCCTCTCCTGCTGCTCCGGCCCCTTCCCAGCTCCGTTCCCTTCCCTGGACACCTCCAGCCCCTCCATGTCCTTCTTGTGAGGGCCCAGGGCTGCCCCAGGGCTGGAGGTGCCTCATGGGCTCAGGCTCTGACAGCTCTGTCCCCTGGAGCTGTGCTGGGCTCAGGCTCTGATGGCTCTGTCCCCTGGAGCTGTGCTGGGCTCAGGCTCTGATGGCTCTGTCCCCCAGTGCCAGCTGATCGTCTGCCAGATGAGCAGCACGCGCTGCCAGCCCCTCACCTGGATGCCGCCGCCCACCGCGCGGTGCTGCTGCTGGTGCTGTCTGGGCTCACACCCCACAGCGAGACACTGCTCCTCTACCTGCTGACTGCTTTCCTCACCCTGGCACACATCCACTACGGAGTGGTCGTGGTAGGTGACCCTGGCACCGGCTCTGGTGCTGCCTGGGGCAGGGAGTGCTCTGTGCGTTACGGGAGCCGCGGTGGGAATGGCTCTGTCGTGCTGACTGTGGCTGTGTGGAACTTGAGCTGAGGCCCCTGTGAGCAGCTTGGGCAGGTTGTGTGGGTTTGCAATAAGCTGCACTCGAGGTGACAGGGGCTGTCATGCCCCTGGGGATGTGACATGAAACTAGGCTGGTTTGACTTGGAAAGACCTTAAAGTCCATCCAGTGCCACCCCTGCTATGGGCAGGGACACCTCCCACCAGCCCAGGGTGCTCCGCGCCCCCCCCCACTCCCAGGGATGGAGCAGCCACAGCTGCTCTGGGCACCCTGTGCCAGTGCCTCAGCACCTCACAGGGAGCAATTCCTGCCCGGTATCCATCTGTCCCTGCCCTGTGGCAGTGGGAAGCCATTCCCTGTGTCCTGTCCCTCCATCCCTTGTCCCAAGTCCCTTTGCAGCTCTCCTGGAGCCCCCTGAGGCACTGGAAGGAGCTCTAAGGTCTCTCTGTGAGGTCTCTAAGCTGCTGGGGGAGCCAGGATGGAGCAGGGATGTCCCTGCCAGGGAAAGTGGGAACACTGCAGCTTCAAGGCCTTCTGCCCTGCTGTGAGGGCTGTGTAGAGATCCAGGGACTGGTTTGCTCCTCTGACTCTTCTTGGCTCCATGAGTTTTGATTTAGGAGAGAAAACTAACTTAGAGGAGTCTCAGTCCCATTAGGAATGCCCCAGGAATCTGCTGAGGAAGGAGGAGGAGGGACCTTTGGGAAGCTCCTTCTCCTGGGAACCCCAGCTGTAACATGGAGCCTCCTGAGTCGAGTTCCAACTGTAATTACAGCCGAGAAGTAATAGCCAGGTTGTCTTGCCTTTCCAATTAGTGTAATGAGGCTTCTATGCAAGAAGGATTTGAATTACTAAGAAGCTTAAATAAATGTGGTCCTGGAATCGTTGCTGGAGATGGGACTGAGCGGGTGGTGTAATCCTCCTGCCCAGGCCTGGTCATCCTGTCCTGGGAGCTTCCCAATGCTCTGCTCTCCTGGGGCTGTGTTCCCCTCCTTCCCTCCCTCTGGCTTTCCAAAGGCCCATCTGTGCAGTCTCCTCTTCCAGGATAAGACACTTTGAGCTGAGGAGCCTTTTAAGGCTTTGTGTCTGGGACATAATCCCAAGATGCTCTCAACTTGGTAGGAATGGTTAGGAATAAACCCTCTGCCTTGACTCTGTGCCCAGCTCAGCCTCCTGCAGTAAAGGACACGGCCCCCAGTTTGAACGGTTCAGGGAGGGATTTTTCATACTGATCATCTGATGATGATCTGAGATGATCAAATGAGTTTAAGCAAAGTAATGAAAACATTGCTGGGAGGAGCAGAGATGTAGCAGGGTAAAGTCTCAGGGTAAAATCCTGCAGGCCTGAGCTCAGGGCAGCATTCCTGTGACTCCTG